CCAGTGGAGGCGTTGACCGTGGATAAGTCGTACATCTTCGCGGTGGCGGCGAAGAATTCGGTTGGGCAGTCGGACTTTGTCGAGACGAAGCCAGTATCGACAAGGCTGCAGTATGGGCCACCACCGACCCCCGTGAACGTCAAGGCCACGGTGAATCCGGAGAAGGCTCCGATGAGTCAACAGTCAGTGGAATTGACTTGGGAGTTGTCGGCAGAGACTGGTGCAGTACCGGCTGATGTAGTCACCGAATTCCTAGTGGAGATGAAGCCTAAAGATGGAACGCGTTGGCAAGAGGTAGCCAAAGAACTCACGGAGCCCCATGCCACTTTGCCCACAGACACAATGAAGGAATTCACCGACTACGAGTTTCGTGTGACCGCGAAGAACAAGGCTGGCACAAGCAAGCCTTCTGCGCCCTCCAATGCCATCCAATTGGGTAAGTTGCTGAGGCTCATTTGACAGTGCTTTTGGGGTTCTGTGTTGCGAATGAGAGTTGTGCAGTGTTGCGAAATGAAGCAGATGTCATGCGAAGATGCAGACACGGTGACACCTGTCATGTTGGTGGTCGGCTCTGCCTATGGAGGAATGAGTCGGCGAAAGCTGCTTAAAAGGCATTGTTATCGTCTTGGCTTAGTCACATTTATGCCTACGAAGTGTAACTAATCTGACATTGGGTTCATTCAGGGGAAGTGTGGGTGAGAGGCGTAGTCAGTGGCAGACGGGGATGTTGTTTTGTCGCGGCAATAACTGCTGATGTCTCGGTTGCCTCAAGACATCTACAGGCAAGTAAACTTTCCTCAGAAGTAGCATTGGTCACACACGTGGTTATTCTCGTAGTGATGTTCAGTAGTTGTGTCATGAGTGGATGTGGGCTGGAGCACATGCACTTCAGTAATGCACAAGAATTAGCCTGGCTATTACTGAGCGTAATAGTAATGCAGACGTGTTGGTTGTGTAGAGATGTGATGTAATTTTGTCCTTTTAAAGGCGTTCCATTGGAGTTTGTTCGTGAGGTGCCGAAGATTGTCGTGACCGAGGCACCATCGAAAGATGAGCCAGTCATTCTGGAGTGCGAGCTCTCAAGGAAGCCCAGAGAACAACCTAAGTGGCTGCGCAATGGGAAACCACTGCCATCACGCCTTCCTAAGGGCGTGAGTGTGGAGGAAGACAAGCAGTCCACTATCCACCGCATCACATTCACAGAACTAACCGAAGAGGACCTGGGCGAGTACACGCTGCAGGTGGAGAAAATCGCCTCTACTGGAGGTGTTGAGATGAAAGGTACGTGCATTGCCTAGCACGTGAGGTAATGTAGCACGTTGTGAGTTGGGTGGTGTCTAGCCGACATGTGCTAACTGTCCGCCGCAAGCATTGTTGGTGTATTTATTTATTTATTTACTTATTTCATGGTAATCGGTAGAGATTGATGGGTACGGTCTTGATGCATTTGCAGTTGCGCCATCGTTGCGTCTGTCGGAGAAATTTGAGGATACGATAATCTTGAAGGCTGGAGCGTCAACGGTCGTTGAGGTGCCATTCGTGGCTAGCCCGAAGCCGAGCATCAA